TAGTATTGGATGCAACCCACAATGGAACATAGGTTGAGAGCCACTGCTCGAAATTCCTAACCAATATGGAGCGGGAGCAACAAAGGACTCAAGCATTGCATCACAGCTCCTAGCTTTTAGGTGGCGAAAAAATCCAAGGAACACCATTGTGATCCACAAAGCTGATTTAGGTACATAGGCTCCTATAAAATGAATGGGGAGCCAACACATTAGGTGGGGAGCCACCTGCCAACCAATGGGAGATATTGACCAGTGGGGTGTGTCCTAAACCCTGCCCCTCTCTCAGCAATAGGCACCTAAATCCAGACCACAGGGAGGCTATTGACCACTAAAGCCTGAGAAAGGGGCGATGCCACATTATAGCTTCTAGTCCAGTGATTAGGTCACCAACTGGGACGTCCAGATGACTCACATGAGGCAGCAGTGCATATCCTCAAAGGTTAAAACAGACACCTAGAGAACTTTTACTCTCATAAACTTAGGTGCCAAGGGAGTTTAGCGGCCTATTGGGTTCCTCAGAGTTTTGTGGATTGCAGTGGAGCCGAAACTGGGATTTAGGCATCTAAGTACTTTTGCTGATCCCACCCATGGTGACTAAAAACAATCAGTTCAATTCACTAACTACAGGTAATTATTACCTTGTTATTTATTGATATCATCATAGCAGCTAGGATCCCTGGTCATGGCCAGGATACATGACTTTAAGTAATCAGTTTTAAATGTAAAGCATGTTCTGATAACCTTTTTTCCCTTATGAATCCAGCATATTTAAGGTATTTTTATTTAAAAATTTTAAATGCTGAATTTTCAAATAATTGAATTCTGATTTCCATCCAAATAAAGCTTGACCAAAAAATCAGCCTCCCTTTAGGAAAAGTAACTAAAAAGTAAAAATGTCAAACTAGATGAAAAGTGGCAGTTTAAGTGGAGGTACCTGCTTGCTGCTTTAAATCATGCTGAACAGTGGAAATTTATCCCTCCTCCCACCCATATACGGACAGCTCTGAGGGGTGGGGATCTGCATGGGGATGGGCGGGGGGGGGGGGTTACTTCCCCCCAGGCACTGACACCTCTAGAGGCCAGGGACAGGAGAGGGCTCTGCATGGGGATGGGGGAGTTGGGGCCAGGGTGGCGCGTTATGTTTGGGCACCTGGTTACGTAGCCCCCTCAGGCTACAGCTGCACGTGCTGCCCCGGGCTGGGCTCCCCACGGCCGCCGCACAGGTCGCTGGGCCGGGTCCGTGTTCCCCGCGGGCTGCTCGGGGCGGTTCCCCTCCCGCACCACAGGCCGCCATTGCTGCGCCCCGTAGAGAGCCCGATACCGCTTTCCTCCTCCTCCTCCTCCCGCCCCCCCCTCCCGCCCCACTGCCGCCATGATGTGCGGGGGCAACAGCCCCACCCCCCTCCAGCCAGCGCGTCCCTGCCCCGGCTCGGAGACGCGCTGCCCGGCCCTCACCTGAGACCCTCACCTGACGCCTGGCAGATCCGGAGCCTGCGCGCGCAGCCCCCAAGGAAGTGACTGGATCCAAAGCGAGGCCAGACCCTCCCACCCCTTTCTGATTGGCTCGGCTCTGACTTGGAGCCCATCAGCTCTCGTAGGGAGACCCCGCGCCTAGGAAGGACGTCCCGCCGTCGCTTCCTACGAGGGAGAACCTGACCCGGGGACAAGCCAGGGCCCGCACTGCCGGATGCCCGTGCAGAACCCGCCTTCCCCTCCCCCAGCCCTCTGAGCACGCTGAGGAAAAGGAGGCAGGTTGGAAAACAATCCCAACTGCACATATCTAATGATGGGGGTAAATTAGCTGTTACTGCTCAAGAAAGAACTTGGAGTCACTGAGCGGATGTTTTTAGAGAACTAGCCACGATGTGCAGCGCAGTCAAACCAGCTAACAGCCTGTTAGGAACCATTAGGAAAGGAACAGGAGAAATATTTTCTGTCTTATCATAATGCCACTATATAAATCCAGGACTCACCCACACCTTCCGTACTGCATGTCATCCTGGCAGCCCCATCTCACAAGCAGAGACTGAGAAAGGTCCAGGTGCAGTAGTGCCCAACCACATTCTCCAACAAACAGAGGGGGAGGCCTGTAACAAGAATCAGAGGGGTAGCTGTGTTAGTCTGAATCTGTAAAAAGCAACAGAGGGTCCTGTGGCACCTTTGAGACTAACAGAAGTATTGGGAGCATAAGCTTTCGTGGGTAAGAACCTCACTTCTTCAGATGCAAGTAATCTGACAGCATCAGATCAGGATTAAACAAAGACTGTGAATGGCTATCCAACTACAGAAACAATTTCTCCTCCCTCTGCGTTCACACCTCAACTGCTAGCAGAGCACCTCACCCTCCCTGATTGAACTAACCTCGTTATCTCCACACTGATATATACCTGCCTCTGGAGATTTCCATTACTTGCATCTGAAGAAGTGAGGTTCTTACCCACGAAAGCTTATGCTCCCAGTACTTTTGTTAGTCTCAAAGGTGCCACAGGACCCTCTGTTGCTTTGTAACAAGAATGACACTCAACACGGACCGCCCCCAAATAACCGAACAAAACTCTGAAACGTGCCAACCCACCAGTTCAAAAAAGTGAAAACAACCTACCCCATGCAGAGCTTTTACTCAAACGGTAAGAGTGCTGGAGACTTCCTGAAGACCATAAGGGGCTTCACAGTTACTATTGATTTTACATGGGAGGCACCAGATCCTATGATGGGGGACAAACCTTCCTTTCCACCATTACAAGAATGACACTCAGAGCATGAATCCCTCCATCTGCCATACTGCCCCCAACTTCAAAAAGACCCTGACACAAGCCAGACAACCAGCCCCCAAACTCTGAACACCTTACTCCAAGCAGAGCTTTTACCCCATAAAAGGAAGACTTGCCAGAGACTCCATGAAGACCACTAGGAGCTTAGCTATTGATTGTACATGCAAGGTACATAGATACCACAGAGAAAAAGGAAAACATTCTGATTTACATGGTGTAGCCAATAGATCTCGATCTAATAGAAAATTCAACTTGGACCTCTCTCACCATGGCAGAGTCTGTTCCAGTCAGCTGCAGTGTCCCCGGCATTGGCTCCTCTCCCAGCTGACCTAGAATGTGAAATGACAGAGTCAGGACATCGTAAGGGTTTGTTTGTGGGTCCCATCTCCTCACTTCTTGTGAGAATGAGTTCAGCAGATGTCTAAATCAAAGTGGAACAACTTCCACAGGAAATATTGAGGGATCCCCCTCATCAGACTGTCCCACAGCTCAGTGGCTGGGCACTCCCCTGAGAGGCGGGAGACCTCTGTTCAGATCCTGTCTCCCCCTCAGACAAATGTGGAGTGGAACCAGGTGGGTACCCTAACCACTGGGGCAGAAATCTGTTAGTGTCTGTGATGCTCTCAGGTACGACAGTGATGGGAGGTGGGGACATGAAAAAACCTAGAGCAGTGGTTCCCAAACTAGGGGCGCGGCTTGTTCAGTGTAAGCCCTTGGTGGGCTGGGCCGGTTTCTTTACCTGCTGCGTCCGCAGGTTCGGCCGATCGCAGCTCCCAGTGGCCGTGGTTCGCCGCTCCAGGTCAACGGGGGCTGCGGGAAGCGGCGGCCAGCACATCCCTCGGCCCACGCAGCTTTCTGCAGCTCCCATTGCCCGAGAACGGCAAACCGCGTCCACTGGGAGCTGCGATCGGCCGAACCTGCAGACGCGGCAGGTAAACAAACCGGCCCAGCCCACCAGGGGCTTACACTGAACAAGCTGCGCCCCTAGTTTGGGAACCACTGATCTAGAGAGATTCCTGTCTGACCTGACTACTAAAGCAGAGAGGCCAGGGAGAGAGGATGTGGAGCTGTGAGCCGTGAAGGGAAAAACTCCCCCACACCCAGAGCCTGGACCATCAGGGGATGGGAACTTACCTCCCAAAGCTGCTGCTACAACAATGGTGATTACCACCAAGCCCACGACTATGGCAATGAATACAGTTCAACCTTCAGATACAGCCGCTTTCCTGAAGTTACAGTTAGCTGGATCATCTGGAAGATAAAAACCCGTTAATGCTCCTGGGGCTAGAGAGACCAGAATTCTTGCCATCAGGCTCTGATCTGACACACACCAGATATTTATTTTGATTTCTAAAATGGTTCTGGCCCCGCTCTGGACACAAATATTAACTAGAACTCCCATCCAGATGCCTATGGAGAACATCACTCCCCAAATCACCACTGTGTGGTTAATTAGCTCAATTAATCCCCAGAAAGGACCCTGCAGATATCAGAGGAATTCGGTGGAGGATGATCAAGGGCCTAGAAAATCCATGACAAGAGATTGACAAGCCTGGGATGGTTTGCCTTGGAGAGGAGGTGAATGAGAGGGGACAGGATAAACAGTCTATGCAATAACAGATGGGACAGAAGGCAGACTGGGAGCTTTTGTTGGTAAAGGTGGGGGCTGTCCCTGCACGCCCCCTTGTGGCCTGGTGTGGCATTGTGGGTGCAGCCCTCTGTAATTTCCCTTGATTGGCAACAGTAGGTTTTAAAAGCCCAGGACAAAGAGAAGCCAACACTAATTAACAAAACAGCACGTCTCTTGTTAATAAGGCTTCAGGACAGGAGCAATTACAACAAACAGTTCAGCTGTCCCAGCTGTAGCCTCCTGCCTGTCCCTTAAAGGGGTAGTTATCCCCTTCCCGATGTCCTTCTTGTCTCATAAGAGGGATGATCAATGAGATTAAAAAGGTGGGAAAGGAACTATGTTTCCAGACAATGTACAATAGACTGTGGAACTCACTGCCAGGGAAGTGAGAACAAGAACTCAGGAAAGTTAAAAAAGGGATTGAGCATTGATATGGTTAACATGAATATCCAGAGTTGTCATAAGTAACAACCAAAGTTGGCAGGAACATTGAAAGAGCCTCCTCCATCCCAGGAAGAGTGAATACAGGAAACCCCTGCTGGAGTTCAATCTTAGCAAATCCTCTTCTCTAGCGCCCAAAGCCACATCTGAGGACACGATATGTGCACTGGCAAAACACAAATGAATGCGCTGTGGCCACACAGGCAGCTACACCTGCTCCTGGCCATGCACAGAGGCAGGGCTCTGTGTATGTTAGGAGTGTGTATGCCTCAGCCTGCCTGCTGCTCACACACTGGAGGGAGGATCTGACCCTTACAAACAAGCAGAAGGAAAGAGCAATGACAGGAGCGAACAAGGGAGACGTGAGCCAAACGTTCTCACAGGGAAGGGATAGAACATGTGCAGTCCTAAAAACACACGTGCAACGGCCACACAAGAGAGCAGCTGTAGGTATGAGTTGAGTCCATTAAAGCAATATGGCTGCCACTGCACAGGTCGGGGTGAGGGGCAGTTTTACCTACCACCGAAAGGCTGCATCTCAGCATCTCTCTCCAGCCTGTTCCTAGGCAAGGAAGCTCCGATTACTGGTTCTCCTCCGCTCCTCAAGTCTCTGGAGCCGTTAAGAGGCTGCTCAAGGGGATCTGCTTCCACTTCCTCCCCCATCTCTCCTCTCACTGACGCAGTGGCAGGTGCTGGGCTCTGATCAATTTGGACCCTTCTCATCAGCTGCAGGAAATGGCTCTATGCAGCCGTGGCAGAATCAGTTCCAGTCAGCTGCAGTGTCCCTGGCTTTGGCGCCTCTCCCAGCTGCCCTAGAATCTGCAATGACAGAGTCAGGACAGCATAAGGGTCAGTGGGGTTTGTCTGTGGTGTCCCATCCCCCATTCATCAGAACAAACCCATCAGACAGCACAAGCACACAACACAGAACTGAGTGTAGTGTCTCCCCCTGCACCCGCAACTCTGGAGAGGTGGAAGGGGGTGAGTTTAAAATTGCATATTTGGGAGGGGCACAGACACAGCATCTTAGAAAGACTTGAAGAGACTCAGTCTCCCCCACCCCCAGGTTGAACAAAAATCAGTGGTTTAAAATTTGATATTTTTATTTAAATAGTGTTTTAAAATAAACCAATTTAAAGTTACACTTGAAATAATGACAATCTATGTCAAGGCCTAAAGTTACTATAATCCATTAAAATCATTTACATTAAATGAAAAAGAATAATATTCCAGCAGAACATGTTTGCTGATGACGTCTTGAAGAAAGTGAAGCCACTGAAGTGGTGCCAGTCACTGGCTAAGCACCGGTCACAGAGTTTGTTAAATCAGCTTTGGACAGCAGTAGCCTCTTGCGCAGGGGCAGAGACTATTCTCTTCATTTCAGTTTATTCAAAGTTAAGAAGCCGATTGGGAGTTGAAAAAGCAGCAAAGCTTGTTTTGCTCGTCCAATCTATGGATGAAAACTAGGCGTGAGAAGCTGAGCTCTATAGCCGTGGTTCTCAACCTGCGGCCCAATCAGCACACGGCTGCGGCCCATGTGACATCTTCTGGGCCATACAGGTAGTATTGGATGTGGCCCATAATGGTAAATAGGTTGAGAACCACTGCTCGGAAGTCCTAATGAACATGGAGCGGGAGTCACAAAGGACTCAAGCATTGCATCACAGCTCCTAGCTTTTAGGCGGCTAGAAAATCCAAGAAACACCATTGTGATCCACAAAGCTGATTTAGGTCCATAGGCTCCTATAAAATGAATGGGGAGCCAGCACTTAGGTGGGGAGCCACCTAAGCCAACCAATGGTAGATGTTGACCAGTGGGGTGTGTCCTAAACCCTGCCCCTCTCTCTGAGATAGGCACCTAAATCCAGACCACAGGGAGGCTACTGATCACAAAAGCCTGAGAAAGGGGCAATGCCACATTATAACTTTTAGTCCAGTGGTTAGGTCACCACCTGGGACGTCCAGATGACTCACATGAGGCAGCAGTGCGTATCCTCAAAGGCTAAAACAGACACCTAGAGAACTTTTACTCTCATAAACTTAGGTGCCAAGGGAGTTTAGGGGCCTATCGGGTTCCTCAGAGTTTTGTGGATTTCAACTGAACCAAAACTGGGATTTAGGCATCTAAGTACTTTTGCTGATCCCACCCATGGTGACTAGAAACAATCAGTTCAATTCACTAACTACAGGTAATTATTACCTTGTTATTTATTGATATCATCATAGCAGCTAGGATCCCTGGTCATGGCCAGGATACATGACTTTAAGTAATCAGTTTTAAACACAAAGCATGTTTTGATAACCTTTTTTCCCCTAACGTATCCAGCATATTTACGGTATTTTTATTTAAAAATTTTAAATGCTGAATTTTCAAATGTAATTGAATTCTGATTTCCATCCAAATAAAGCTTGACCAAAATAATAATAATAATCACAGAAATTAAAAGTTGAAAATCTGAATAGCTGTACATGTAGCTATATTATTTAAGCAATTAATGTGTATAAATATAGTGTATCCTCCTGGTTAAGAAAAAGTACTAAATTTATTGTAAAAGCTTTATTTAGATGTAGACCTCCATGTTTCAATGGTTATCAGTTTATAAGAGTCAGCCTCCCTTTAGGAAAAATAACTAAAAAGTAAAAATGTCAAACTAGATGAAAAGTGGCAGTTTAAGTGGAGGTACCTGCTTGCTGCTTTAAATCATGCTGAACAGTGGAAATTTATCCCTCCTCCCACCCATATACGGACAGCTCTGAGGGGTGGGGATCTGCATGGGGCTGGGGGGTTTCACTCCCCCCATGCCCAGACAACTCTGGAAGGGGGCTGGGAGGGGCTCTGCATAGGGCAGGGATGGTCCATTATTTTTTGTCAAGGTCCACATTTCTTGGTCAAGGTATAGTAAAGATCCAAACGCCAGAGAAAATAATACCAAAAAACCCCACAAAACAATAATGATAATAAGTAAATAAAAAGATTTCACGGCCCATTCAAAAGTATCTGGTGGTCCGGATTTGGCCTGTGGTTCACCTATTGACTACCCCGGTGTAGGACTTGGAGGGACGTCAGCCCACCCCTATGGGTGATGACTGACAGCTCTGGGGGCTAGGTGTGTGTGGGGGGGCAGACTCCCTCTCCCCACACTGAGACCTCTGGGACCGGGCGGGGGGGTGGGTGTTTGGGCTCCCGATTACGCACACCCAGGGCTACAGCTGCACGTGCTGCCCCGTGCTCACCTGCTCCTCCCCCAGTCCGGGCTGGGCTCCCCGTGGCCGCAGCAGAGGTCACTGGGCCGGGTCCGTGTTCCTCCGCGGGCGGATCGGGCGGTTCCCCTCCTGCACCAAGGGCCGCCATTGCTCTGAAGTTCCGGTGCCCGCGCAGAGCTAGCTTCCGCTTCCCTTCTCCCCTTCCGGCCCCTCCCCTCGCCAACTGCCGCCATGACGGGGGGTGGGGGAATAGACCCCCACCCCCCTCCAGCCTCCCCTTTTCCCATCTCCGGCTGGGCCCTGCTCCCGGCCCCCCATGGGGAAACCGGCACCTGTGGCGTATGCCACAGCTCCACCTCCGCTATCTCCGTCCGACTGCGCCGCCTCCCCCAAGACCGCGGCTTCCTGGCTCGCAGAAACGTGCTGCCCGGCCCCCACCTGAGACGCGAGCCGGCGGCCTGAGACCTGGCAGACCCGGAGCCCTGCGCAGTACAACAACCGCCTCCTACGCGCAGCGCCCAAGGAAGTGACTGGATCCAAAGCGAGGCCAGACCCTCCCACCTCCCGTCCCGCCGTCGCTTCCTACAAGGGAGATCACCTGACCCGGGGACAAACCAGGGCCCACACTGCTGGATGCAGGTGTGGAACCCGCCGTGCCCGCCCTCTGAGCACGCTGAGGAAAAGGAGGCAGGTTGGAAAACAATCCCAGCTACACATATCTAATGATGGGGTGTAAATTAGCTGTTACCACTCAAGAAAGATCCTGGAGTCACTGAGTGGATGTTTTTAGAGAACTAGCCAGGATGTGCAGCAGCCGTCAAACCAGCTAACAGACTGTTAGGAACCATTAGGAAAGAGGGAGATATTTTCTGTCTTCTTATCATAATGCCACTATATAAATCCAGGGCTCACCCACACCTTCCATACTGCATGTCATCCTGGCAGCCCCATCTCACAAGCAGAGACTGAGAACAGTCCATGTGCAGTAGTGCTCAACCACAGATTCCCCAACAAACAGAGGGGAAGCCCTGTAATGACGACGACACTCAACATGGACACCCCCCCAAATAACTGAACAAAACTCTGAAACGAGCCAACCCACCAGTTCAAAAAAGTGAAAACAACCTACCCCATGCAGAGTTTTTACCTCAAATGGTAAGAGTGCTGGAGACTCCATGAAGACCATAAGGGGCTTCACAATTACTATTGATTTTACATGGGAGGCACCCAGATCCTATGATGGGGACCAAACCTTCCTTTTCAAAAAAGCCTTTCCACCATTACAAGAATGACACTCAGAGCATGAACTCCTCCATCTGTCATACTGCCCCCAACTTCAAAAAGACCCTGACACAAGCCAGCCAACCAGCCCCCAAACCCTGAACACCTTACTCCAAGCAGAGCTTTTACCCCATAAAAGGAAGATGTGCCAGAGACTCCACGAAGACCACTAGGGGCTTAGCTATTGATTGTACATGCAAGGTACATAGATACCACAATGAAGAGTGTCAGTATAGAACACTAAAGTAAAACAGGCAGTTCTCCTTCTGGGGAGAGGACCAGAGACAAAGGAAAGCGCTCTGGTTTACATGGTGTAGCCCACAGGGCTAGCTTGCCTTTATTATATTCACAGCTTTGCATTATAGTCAGTAGTAATGCAAGGAACTTACAGGCCTGTATGCTTCAGCACGTTAGTACAAGGCTTGAGGCCTATGAACAGATAAACAGATCAATGGAAAACTCCAAGTTACTGGAAATCTGAAAATCAAGTGTTTAAGGGGAATTTCTGACCACAGGAACATGGCCCAGCCACAAGAGGGCCATGGTAACAGCTTGAAATCACTGATATACTAACCTACAGGAGACGGACACGCCAACATTAGTAAGATGAGGATATACAAATAAGGAAAAGGGAGAAAAACCCTGACTGAATATGCATCAAACATAGGGACGCCAGCGTATCATATTATAAAAGTGGCATCGCAGCCTAGGGGCAGTAGGAGAAAGAGGTGTAGTCCTTGGGAGGTGCTAGAATGGTGGCCCCTGATGATGAGGGGGGGAAATGATGGTCATGAGCAGGGCCGGCTCTAGGCACCAGCGCTCCAAGCATGTGCTTGGGGCGGCACTTTCCAAGGGGCGGCACTCCAGCCCCCAGCCCTCCCCCCCCTCTTTTTTTTTTCCCCTTGGGGCGCAAAAAGCCGGGAGCCAGCCCTGAACCAAGAGGTTCCCTGTCAGCTGAGGCTTTCAGGCTGCGCTGGAACGGACGCTGCAGTTCTGGCCGCAGTCACTAGATGGCGCTCATGGCAGCTGGAGTCGCACAGGCTGGACGGCAGTTCAGGCTGCCCGGCCTGCAGCCCAGCCTGGGGGTGAGGAGCCGGGGAGGGGGGAGGGGTCCTGCTGCTGCTCTGAGTCTCCCCAGGGGGCGGATCCCAGCTCGCGCGCTGACAGGGCGAGTGGCTGGGCAGCCCGAGCTGCCAGGGAGCTGCTGCCGCTGCCCCCTCCTGCCCCCGGACCCAGCCCGCCGCGCACCTACCCCGCCTTAGCCCCGCGCTGCCTGCCCTGGGTGGGGAGAGGCAGAGCCCGGCTCCGAGCGGGGCAGCGGGGGATACTGCCCCGTTGGGGGATCCCCGCGGCTCAGGCACCTGGGGGTCAGTGTCTGTCCTCTCGGCTCTACCTGCACGGGGCTGGGGAAGCAGCTGTCAGCACGTGCCCCTCTCAGCCCTTGCACCCCCCCATCCCGCTCGCAGCCCCTCCACTTATACTTCCCCCCATCGCTCCTTGGCCGCACCCCTGCCCCTTGTACTCTCCCTTCACCCGCACCTCTCCCCTTGTGCCCTCCCCCAGCCCTCTCCTCCCGCACCTACCCCTTCCCCTGCACCTCTTCTCCCACAACCCTCCTGATACCTCCTCTCCTCCTCCACCCTCCTCCGCGAGTATATCACACCCTGCCTCTCTGCCAGTGTAGAGCCCCAAAGCGCCCCCACATCCGCTCCTCTGCCTGAACCCTCTTTATTAGCTCCCCATCCTTTTCCAGGTACAAGGTTTGAGGGTTAGTCTCTATGCCTTCCATGTGCATTTGGAGCACTAAAGATGGGGTTGCGGGGACGAGATTTATACTACAGTGAAATAAAAATAGGAGAAATGGTTTGATCCCCACTGCAAGTGTAAATGGGGATTGCCGTGGTGAACAAGGAGGTCACGTTTGGGGAGGGGGAGCCCAGGGCTGGAGTGGCAGGGGGTATGGGTGGGGGAGGGCACTGGTAGGCAGGGAGAGCCCAGGCTGGGGTGGGGGCAGCCAAAATTTTTTTTGCTTGGGGCGGCAAAAAACCTAGAGCCTGCCCTGGTCATGAGGAAGATGATGGCTAATATTTCAGGTTGTTCTACAAGGGATGGTGTGAGTATATGGGATCTCTGCAGTACCTCTATCTACCTTACTGAGTTGGGGTGTTTGTGACTGTGCTAAATGTATTTATAAGCTACTTGTAAATAGAGAAGATTCCTATAGTGTGAGTGTTGCAACTGTGCACATCGGGGTTCCCAAATATACAATAATTTTAATAATACTGGGCCTGATCTTGGGATAAGAACCTGTCAACCCTCAAAGTGATGACTGGGGATTCTTAAGTAATCTATCTAGCTACCTGTAGATTGGGCTACAGTGGAGGACACGCAGATATTGTGGGGGATGGGCAGCAATACAAACCCCTAAAACAGAACCATGCACGACTGATGCTAGTCACACCACTAGAGCACTGGACAGCACTCAGATACCACGGGGATGGTGTGGTATAAACTTGAATAACCACAAATGAAATCAGAGCTTCATGCTACAAATAGCTTTAGGTAACAAAAAACACCACTACCACCTTCCAAAGCAACATAAAACTGTGCATCAAAAACTCCAAACAGCCACTAGTTACCAAAGAATGGGTTCTCTAAGAGGCCCTTACCTTGTCTGGCATCCAGTGAGTCTGTTCCTCAGTTTAACTTGGGCCATGCCTCAGTTTCCCCTCAGCAGTTGGGTAGAAAATTCAGTATAGATCTCCACAGTCACCATGCCAACAAATGTCCTCCCTCCTCTTCCAGGGTAAGCGAGAATCCAAACAAAATAACACAAGCCCTTCGCCCTTCCTGGGCCACAGTCCTCTTCCCAGCGTCCCCCCCTTGGTTGCAGAGTTCACAGAAGTCCACAATTCCCACTCCAGGGTCTTCATGCCACCTTTTTCCCTGAAGATGCAGGGGAGCGAAGGGGGCAAGGAGATGGTGCGGGGCTGGTGTCTTTATTTGGAGGGGGGCAGAGGAACTGGGCCCACTGCACTCTTCTTCCATTCTATGCATCCGAAGAAGTGGGCTGTAGCCCACGAAAGCTTATGCTGAAATAAATTTGTTAGTCTCTAAGGTGCCACAAGTACTCCTGTTCTTTTTGCAGATACAGACTAACACGGCTGCTACTCTGAGACCAGAACTGTGTTTTGTGTGACTCCCAGCAGTTCCAAGGACTTTGCAAACATTAATGGATTATCAATTCTTTGCTTTTATACAGAACCAATTATCCAAGGGTCACAAGGTGCTTTGGGTGAGCATGTTTACACCCATTTCAGAGAGGATGAAATTAAGGCAGAGGCAATAACCAACACCCTGCCAGGCTCACATAGTCAGTAGCAGTGCTAAGCACAGAACCCAGGCATCCTGACTCAATCCTCTATTTTAACCATTAGACAACTTTCTCCCAGGGCTGGGTTTAAAATGTGTGCTGTGACCACTAGACCTCACTCCCCCACATCTGGGAAAAGAACTCAGGTATCCTGAAGACCAGGCTTCTTTTAGGCTATGTCTACACAGTGCACCTTACAGCGCTACCAGGGCTGCCCAGAGGATTCAGGGGGCCTGGGGCAAAGCGGGGGAGCTGCGGCGCTTGTACTCACCTGCCGGCGGTCCAGGGCTCGCGGGGCCTGGGGCAAATTGCCCCACTTGCCTCCCATCTGGGTGGCCCTGAGCGCTGCAGCCGCAGTGCTGTGTAGCTGTACTTTATCACCACGAGCGAGCTCTCCCGGCGATAAAACAAAACCACCCTGAACGATAAAGCGCTGTCTATACTGGCGCTTTTCAGCACTAAAACTTTTGTCACTCGGGAGGGGGGGGAGGGGAGGGAGGGAGGTTCACACCTCTGAACGACAAAAGTGTTAGCGCTGAAATTGCCAGTATAGACAGCGCTTTATCATTCCCCACCGCAATATACAAACCAGCAACCACTTCAGTAGAAATCAAATTCTCGGTTTGCTCTCAGGATCCTGGTGGGCACTTTACCCCTGCACCTGGGGAAGAGGGAGAGAAACATACTGCTCCTGCCGGCTTATCTTCCCCACTCCCCTCATCCCCGGGGAAATTGAATTTCAAAGTGATTGCCCTCTTCAGAAAGCTAAATCCCTGTGAAAAAAAGGGGTTGAGCAGGGATGTTTTTGCCACTAGTAAGTCTACACTGCCACTTTCAGCGCTAAAACTTTTGTCGTTCAGGGATGTGAAAGCTATTGGGGTGGGAGGGGTTATTGTCAGGAGAGCTCTCCCCCGGCGATAAAGCGTGTCTACACTGTCCACATCACAGCGCTGCCACGGCCATGTTGTAACATGGGTAGTGTAGACATACCCTAAGAAGCATGACAAAGGAAGAGATGCAGGTCTACAGACCCACCTCTGCTCAAAAAAAATATTCTTCTCATGAAGATAATGGGGAAGGGGGTGTCAGAAAGCACAGCTGTTTAAAGGAAAGGTGTGTCCAAAACTCAATTTCAGTTACAGAAAGACGAGTGCACAACAGGGCCCTAAGCTCTGCCCCCAGCTCTCAGGGCAAGCAGCTACAGGAGAATCTCAGCTTCTGTTTAAAACAAAGCTACGTTTCCAAGCCTTGGGGATGCAGAGAAAAGCTCAAAAAGATGTGACCTGATTCTACCCTAAAGGCTCAACAACCAGGGCCTGGCTCTCTTTCCCCTCCTCCCCCTCCAGGGCCATGTCTCCTCCTCCCCTCCCACTCCCCCTCTGGGGCCACGTCTCTTTACCCCTCTTCCCCCCCCCAGTGTCCGGGTGTCCCACCCCCGACACAAGGGCCACTCACCCGCCTCTGGGCGGCGAGGAAGAACACACAGCAGCAGCAGACGGCGGCGCAGCTCTGCGGAGCTTTTTATACAGCCCTGAAGTCGCCCGCGATTGGCTGACAGCCCCGAGCCCTGACCCGTAGGTGACAATACCAGTCTCCGGTTCCCTGTCCCAGCACTTGGTAACGGCGTGAGGGCTGCACTCAGAGCGCGCAGCAGTGTAATAACAGGAAACAATTTGGTGGGTAGGGAAGCGGCGTGTTTCTGAGAACTGAGTGAGCCACTCAGCACTTCAGATCCATCCGGTTCTACTGGGGTCTGCACAGGGCTGGCTCTAGATTTTTTGCTGCCCCAAGCAAAAAAAATTTTTGGCTATCCCCCCCCCCCCACCCCACCACCACCACTACCACTACCACTGCATCCTCCTGCCGCCCCAGCCCCAGCCCTGGGCTCTCCCCCCGCCCCCTGCCGCTCCAGCTCTGGGCTCCCTCATTCCTCCCCACCATTGCCCCACACACACACACCTCCTGCCGCCCCAGCCCTGGGCTCTCTCCCCTCCCCACCTGCACCTTCCTTCTGCCACAGCCCTGAGTCACTGGTAACTCGCTCCCAGGGTGGGTCATTCAGCAGGAATTTTAGGTGTGCACAGAACACAGACAGGATTGGTTCCCATATGGTTACAGAACTGCAGTAAAGTGGAACAATTTTCAGCTTGTGTGATTGGAGGATATCTGGATGCATATTATAAGACTGTCCTCCATAAATGAGGAAAAGTTGAGGTGCCTTTATTATTCTTTTGTTCCATTCTTTCTTTCTATGGGGAATTTGCCAATGCGATATCACTGTCTTCCTTTTAAACAAATAAAACTAAAAAAAAAAAAAAAAAAAAAAAAAAAAAAAAAAAAGCCATGGCTGTTGAAAATAGCAATTCCAGTCCTAATAACCACTGGGAAGCATTTCTTGCTCAATTTATTCTACTTTTTCTACAGCAAGTTACAGTGGATCAGTAGATTTGATTTGGGAGAAATGAAGTAACAGCTGCCCAAATTGAGCTTGAGCACTCCTGAATTTTGAGGGTGTTCAAATCTGGAAGGCAGGTGCTAGATTCCCTTTCTGAATATTAGCTAAATCTGGAAAAGAAAAGTCAATTTCTGCTTCCATGGCTCAGAAGTAGAAATCCTCCTACGTGCCTGGTACTGTATCTAAAGCTGCCCAGTCTAGCAGAGCCTCCCCTCCCTTACTTTCCATTTTAAATGCTAGTGGGATCCACATACCTGCCTTGCTAGGCTTCAGATAGAGAGGGGCATTGTCCATTTAGTCCACCCAATTCTTTCTTTCGGGGAGCGCCCAGGGCTGGGGCAGCAGGAGGTGCAGGTGGGGGCCAGAACTGGGGCAGCAGGGAGTGCGGGTGCGAGGGGGGGGGAGAGAAGAGTCCAGGACTGGGGCGGCAGAAGGTGCGTGCGGGGGGGGAGAAGAGCCCA